GATACTCATAAATTATAAAAATTTAGATGTCATTTATGCGCAAGTATTAATTTGTTTTAAGTTAGTGCCCCTTTTATATTCACCACCTATTACATGTAGCAACAAATTCTTATATGCAGATTTAACAAACGAGAAAAATTCGCACAAAGATAATTTATTGAATTAAAATAAATAATATGAGTTGCAAACTCTAATTTAATTATTTGCTTTTTCTCACATGAACAATATAAATTTCACTTTGAATTTTGAAGACAAGTTGTTGATTTGATTTTCTCCTGATTTAATTTTGAATTTGAATAACGTTTTTTGAGGGTATGATGATTTGAATTTCGAATCCAACGTTGAACTTTGACTTGAAAATCATGAATTATTTGATGGATTTGACCATTCAATCTCTCTTCAATCTTGATTTAATGTTAATAATGACATGATTTGATGGACTCTCTTTAAATTAACTAGCAAGATGCACGTGCGTTGCACGTGTTTAGTCAATTATTTAGTTGATCTTTATTGTATATATGTTGTCTTTCTATATTATCCTAGAATTATATTAAAAATTAAAAAGTTGGTAATATCTAAAATAAAAAAAAATAAGTATATTCCGAGAAACTAATATAAATTCACGAGGATGTTTTGCTCTATTAAAGTTCGGAGAAAGTTTTACGATCAAGTTAAAATTTGCACTTACTTTCGTTTTCCGCATAATGAGATTTGTGACACCAAATTTCAGGCCATTGTAAAAATTTTAGAACATGATATGTTGCAATATAAACATTTTAAAAGCTTGTATTAAATTTAAAATTTAGAGCGAAATAGAGAAAAATTGGTTGATGACTGGAGTTAGCCCCTTAACCGGTGACATCGGCTATGACTTGGGTGTGGCTGAGTCATGGCCGGGAAATGATGCATGCCAAGTGAGCATTTGCACAAGACAGCTACACATCGGCCAATGGGTGGTCGAGTATTGCGCATGCATTGGGGTACTTGGGTGTGGCTGAGTCATGGCCGGGAAATGATGCATGCCAAGTGAGCATTTGCACAAGACAGCCACACATCGGCCAATGGGTGGTCGAGTATTGCGCATGCATTGGGGGTGCTTGTCCAAAGATTCAAGGAAAGGTTCTTGCGGTTGGGCACGAGCGTGACTTAACAACCAACACGAGCACGGGATGGGCAAGAGTTAGGGATGTCTAGAATGAGTCTTGGTAGCCCGACACAAGATTGTGGGCAAGGGCAGCCTAGGCAGACCGATGCAGGCAAAGTAAGGCAGCGTGTGCGGACAAGGCAAGATAGGCGGGCTGCCTAGGAACCGGTAGGGCGGTCTCGGCCGTTTGGCGCGCGTGCGCCCGAGCAAGCCAGGGCGCAACAACTGATTCCTTGCAAGATTTTGAAGGACAATTGCGAAGCAGTTGAGGCTGGAAAGCATGCAAAACTGGCCCTTGTAACCTGTAAAAGTGAGCGACATGTAAGACATTCGTGGCGCCAAGTGTCCTATGCAGTTAGGGGTGTAAACTGTCATCTTCCTTGTATTTATTTGAATTTGAATACACAATTCCGGTCCATCTTGTATTAGAGAGTTTAGATTGTAGTTGCGGGCATTCTAAGTGAGGATTTTGTATGTGCATCTTAGTCTCCTTTGAATTCTTTGTTGGGAAATCAATATAAAGGTTGGGCATTGCCTGTAAACGTGTTGTGTGTTTGTTTTTGCTGCATACTCTTGTCTACGTTTTTGTTGGCTTGAAAGGACTTTGAATTTTTGCGTTTGTGTGAAGAGAATCGAGGGAATGCACTTTACGCACATAACCACCTATGTCGAATATTCCGACGAATCTTTTCATTTGCCGGCGAACGCGCGATTCACATGCGAAAGTACAAGGGTGTTTTTGTCTTTCCCCCTAAAAATATCATATGGGGTGAAATTTAAATTACCAAGACTCAATTGAACTTAATTTAAAACTTACGCAAATTCGAAATTAATTAAATAAAGGTTTGTGTCTTCTTCTTCCATGGGAGTATCCTGATGATGCGGTTGTAAATTCTTTCATGTTTATGACCTGATCCTTTCTTATTCATATATATTCCAAAAAAATAAAAAATAATATCATATGATTTGGTCTTCTTTCTTGAATATTGAATCTAGGGTTTACAGATACTCTTCTTACCAGACACTACCCTTTCCGATTCCTTTAAATGTTAATATTCTAAACAAATTATACTAACAATTTTGAGCATTTTCTCTGTACTTTTGCTATCTTTGGGAGTAAACCAGCACAATTCCCTCGTGTGTGTATATATATATATATATATATATATATACACTCAAATAAAGGTATATAAATAAAAATGGTGAGGGGAAAAACACAAATGAAAAGGATAGAAAATGCGAGCAGTAGGCGGTGACATTTTTGCGTAAGTTTCAAATTAAGTTCAATTGAGTCCTTGGTATTTTCAATTTCACCTTTGTATGATAGTTTCAGGTGAAAAGACGAAAAATCCATTGTACTTTTGCATGTGCGTCGCGCATGCGCTGGTAAATGATAAGATTCGTTGGAATATTTGCCATAGGTGGTTATGTGAGTTAAAAAAGTGGATTGGGATGTGCAGATCCAAATTTTTTTAGTTAATGTGGCAAAGTGGAAAGAAAACCACGCAAAGTACATGTGGCAAAATGCTAATAATAATAATAATAATAGATTCTCATATTTGTTGCACACATGGTTAGTTTAATAATAAAACTATTTTTAAATAATACTTTTGAGAAGGCAACAATGGTAGGAACTAAATCATTAATATTCTAAACAAATTAATCTACAATAACCGAAACAAATTGCCTACAACAAAAACTCATGAAATTTAGCAATTAAAATTGCAAAACAAAAGAGTACTTTTTTGGGATAATTACACTTTTCGTCCCTATACTTTACCAATTATTCATTTTTAGTCCCTAAACAAGTTGGAGTGACATTATTCATCACTAAACATGCCATTTTTCTGCTATTTTCGTTCCTCCGCCAATTTGGCTGGTTAGTTTGGACGGAAAATAACATGTGCTTCACACATGATACGTAAGAATCCACCCCTCTTCGATTTCAGATTGCATCGTCTTTAGAACATAAGCCTTCTTTTCCAAATTGCTAATTTCTTCAATATCACATCTCTTTGGACTCGTAAATAGCCTCGATAATACCCAATAGACAATTTTTTTCCATCATACAAATCTGATGCAATGCAATTTCTACTTTGAATTAATATATTTGGATTTGTTGAATGAAATTTATAATATGTTAAGCTACTCAACAAGAATTCTTTGATTTGTTACATATTGAGAATTTGCACGATTTGCAATTCTGTAAACTTTAATTTAGATTGCCTACCCTTATTAGTCATTATCTCCATATTGGAACAAAACCCATCTAACGTTAACTAATCATTTAAACAAAAAAAAAATTGTCATGGCCGGTCTAGGAGATATTAATCCATATATTATTTGAACTTATTTTTGATTGATGCAATCTCCAATCGTCTTTAATAATATTGAATAGAAAAAATATTGGACCGGAAACAACTAAAAGAGAGATAGATATAGTTGCCTGTCCTCTAAATTCATTAATATAATTATGAAGTGTGTACGCGCACATATTGCAAAACTTTATTTCATTGTATGTTTTGAGTTCAAATATGGAAATTTTATGCAAAATCGAAATAAATATTCGATCATCTGACAATTGTATCGTTCACAGACAATTTTGAGAATTCCCTCCTAATGACGTGGGCATGGGTCTCTTGCATGGTGGTGGCTCGTTCTCTCTAGCAAAGTTTAGAGATCATGAGTTTTGTTGGGTGCCAATGCATGGGTAATTTGAATTAATATGAGTTAGTTTCACGAAGCATATCAGCAACATACATGTGAGTGGCCACGTGGATTAATCGTCCATATCAGCAGTATATAGGGGTGGTAAACGAGCCGAGCCGGCTCGCGAACTCGACGAGCCGGCTCGAAAAAAGCTCGAACTCGAGCTCGGGATTTTCGAGCTAGCTCCTCTTTTTTTGGCTCGAGCTCGAGCTCGTGTCAGTTGTGTCGAGCTCGAGCTCGAGCCCATTGTCTTTTTTTTTTTTTTTTTTTTTTTTTTAAATATTTTTTTAATTATTATTTTATTATTAAAAATTATTTTAAAAAATAAAAAATAAAAACTAAATTGTAATTATATATATTTTTAATATTTGTATTTATTTCTATAATATTTTACATTATTATACATTATTTAAATAAAAATAACATATAAAAAATAAAAAAAATAATAAAAAAATAATAATAAATCCGGCTCGCGAGCTCATGAACAACTGAAAACCGGCTCGAGCTCGGCTCATCAGAAAGCTCGAGCTCGCGAGCTCGAGCTCGAGCTCGAAAATCTCGAGTTCGAGTTCGAGCTTTTTACGAGCCGGCTCTTCGAGCTCACGAGTCGGCTCGGCTCGTTTACACCCCTACTTGGAAGAGGAGAAATAATCATATTAGCTAATAATACATATTCAATATTTATCTACGAATTAAATTCACATAATATAATAAAATTTGACCGTCTTCAATAACATGGATACTTCAACCTCTTAATATTTCTACAGTTCGGACACGTTTTGTGTCGGATAATACTTAAGTATACTAGTCGGACACTTTATGAGCCATTTTATAATTTCTAAAAAGTTAAAAATATATTTGGATAACAAATTTTAAAATTTTATTTAGTTGATTCACTAATTATTTACATAGTCTAACGATCAATTACAAATTGAAAGTTGATAATAAAATTTATTTTGAATATTTTCCCATGAAATTATATAAAAAACTGACTTATCCCTATACTTTTAATATTGACACGTTTCCCCCAAACTCCTATATCCCTATTTTTTAGATATGCCGTTTCCACGTATCCGTTTCCCTATTTTCCCGCACTGATTTCATGTCCGTACTACACAAGTCACTAGATAAGCACAAAAAAGAATGACTGAGATCAAGTATTTAAGGAATCTCGAAAATAGTGCGATACACAAGAAAGTTTAGACCAACACAATAACATTAAACTTATCCCCTACCACTTCATCTTTCAAATTTTTACATCACTCAAAAACATAATCGTACACATTCGTGATTATTTCCATTTCCTCATACGGGATTTGGCAAAATTATTACCTACAGATTATTATCAGTTCAAAACACTGAAAAACAATAGTTTGAAAAATAAGTTACTACAGAGAGAATAATTATCTGTTATAACTACATATCGGACCGATTAATGCAAATCATAAGGATGAAAACCAGTTCACTATGGTCCAGTGTGCACGCAGCATTGAGGGGAACTCGCCTCTTACCCGGAGAATCGAAAGATAAATAGATAGATGGCTGTCATGTTTGAGCAATACCTTTCCTTATAAGCATATCGTATACTTTATCGACCTTTCCTGGATCAACGTTAAATAGGCCATGTGCATCAGATTTCTTAGTCACGTTTCCATTTAAAATTCCCATTGACATTGTTTGCAGCATATTGAGGTAATGTGCTGGTAGGATTCTCATCTCCCCGCATAGCTGTTTCTCCTGTTATGTGTCCGATTCACAAGAGATGTTCGGTCAGAATTCAACACACAACTGTACTTATACAAAAGAGATATATACAAAAGCAAATAAAATTAATCGAGATATTTGAAGCATCTGTTCATTTTGGGACACAAACCAAAGTCAGGGGGTTCGATAGCTATTTGGCTTCAATTCTTTCTTTTAGAAAAAAAAAAAAGGTATGTTTGGAAATTTCATAAGTGACTCTTGGATAGAAATCACGAGAATGACTAAATGTTACGGGAAGTGGTGAGAAAGTAAAGGTGCATAAGAAAAATCTTACAGCTTGGGAGAGTATATCAGCTCCTAAAAATCCAGTGACATCCCAGTTATCGGAGAGTATGTCGGAAGCAGCGAGTCCTCCTTGTTTAGTGTTTGATGAAGAGTCCATTCCACCAGGATCTAAGACCGATGGGCTCTTGTTACCTACCCTTGGGCTCGTATTATTATTATGATGATTATTCATTCTTTGCAAGTATTTTCCACTGGGACCAGCCTGAGAACTTTCTTTCACTCGACGGGCACTTTCCTCAAGCTCAACCTCCCTCTTCATTTTCTGTTCAATATATCTCTCAGCTTCTGACGACGTACGACAACCAGCAGCTCGAGCTTCCTGCACCAGACCAGAATTTTATCGGAAAATTAAGCATCCAATTCAACAAGCAAGCCTTCTTGAGTTGGTTATCATAAAAAAATACCTCTTTGCCACAGATATCATATTACGGCAAGCATGATGCTGATACAGGTGAAAATTAGGGAACAACATAACAGTGTACACTGTACATCATACCTGAAGGTTTTGTATTCTTTTCAAAATTCGCTGCTCCTCGACAACACTCTTGAGCAACTCATCATGTTCCTTTTTAGAATGAAATCGCATGAATACCCTGTACCGACGGCACAATTCTTTCTCTTCCGAGGTAAGGTCCTTCTCGAAAGGGTCAGGATATAGAAGATTTCTTTCCAATATGAAGTCTTTCCTTCGTTTTCTTTCATCAAGCCTGCAACATTTTTAGATTCGTATGAGGACAAAGAAAAGAAAAGGACAATGACAAAGGGACTGCACCACATTAAGAATCAAAGCACGTCTTATACTGAAAGTTGTGTTCTCATTTGAGCTAACATGGATCACTACTCCAATAAATAATCATCAAATCTCAATAAGTATCCGAAGACTACAAATAAATATCTATACGCAACAATGCAACATCACCATCTGAATGTGAAACTATGCATCAACAAAAGCAGCCAGAGGTGTTGTTGTGCAACAACAAATCATAAACATTTCATAACGTTGTACATTAGATAATTCAAGATTTCCTTTATAACGCACTAACTGTGCAACAACAAATCCTTCATTATAGAGAACAAAACCCAAAATGAGAAGGAGGTAGTAGAATTTACCTTTTCAAGTATATATGCAGAACTCTTAGTTTCAGTTCACGCTCAGTTTCAGTATCCGTCTCCTTGAATTCCATGTCAGCAAGTAACTGCTCAGCATCGTTGTCATACTCAACTTCAAACTCTTGCCTCTTGGAATTATATCCACTTAATTCTTTCATAGAAACACCCTCATCGCCTGATGTCCTAGGTTTCTTCTCTCCAATACTTCTATCAGAGTGAAACTCTGGAGACATAACAAATGTGCTGTTTAAGAATTTGATACCATCACATTATATAAATTAAAACTTGTGAAAAGTCCTAACATAATTATTGTGCTAAGATTCCTGCTCTGTAGTCAAATATGAACAGTGATCCTATTGATGATATTATACAGAATTTCAATAAGTGACCCCTCGAAAACATGGCTCAAGATTGTCACATTACTAAGTCTAAACAGCAAACTTATTGGTGATACTACCAAAGCATACACGTACGTTGCATATCAGCCCAATATTATAGCTCCCATTCGACTCAACTCTGAGATCCAGATGTGAGTTGAGGAAATGAGATTTTTGCGACATTCATTACTACTGTCCTAAAAAGGGATAACTATAACTAGTTAGTTGTTCACATCTTAAATGGCAGCAGAGTTTCTGAGGGAAAAAGTTTGATTTTAGAACATAGAACCTAATTTTGAAACATCTAAAAATTGAAAAGAGATAAATTTAGAACATAGTGACACCAATAAACTTCTTAAATACAAATATATACTCATTCCAGCATGATGTCTTTCAAGATTTACATCAAACTAATCAGTACCTCACTTAAGTCATTACATAGAGTTATCAACTTCACATTATTAGCTTTTTTGTTCTTTTTGTAAATAAATACTAAAAGTTTCTTCCATCACAGTTTTCATCGAAATTTACAATATAGAACTCAATGATTGCAAGTTGTTTTGAAGCAGCAATGACGGTCAGTTACATAGGGTGTATCACAACTATTAGACTATTAACATTTCTTTTGAACTTCTACTGAGAATTTAAGAGGAATTGCCCATCCAAAAGTAAATGGAATTTTTTAATCAAAAAATTATAGAAATTAAATCAAAGATATAGCATTCGAGCATGACATTTTGTTAAAATCGTTTTCAAATTACCTTTTTGATTCGCTATTTCAAAATCAAATTTCAAAAGTTGTGCTAAACTTGAAATTTTAAGTCAATGCACTCAATACTCTGAAAATTTTCAAGTTTAGAATGAACTGAAGTCAATGCACTCAATATTCTGTAAAATTTAATCAAAGTGCTGAGTTATCATCATAGAATGAATTCTCTCAAAATTGCAGAAAATAACTAACGAGCAAATAATTGAGAGCGTTGTGGGAATCGATAAAGTTAATGAAGTCAAATATGATCTATTGACCAAAAAAACCCTTCTAGAGGCAAACTTCTAAAGAGTGATGATATTGAATATTTTTTTGCTACGCACAGTAGAAACCAAACCAGAAATTCTCAATATGAAAGGAAAATCAAAGATGAATTCAAGATGACATGAATTTTGTTTTACAACTGATTTTTTATGAGAGTGCATTTAGATTTGAAATCCACAACTCAAAATATAACCTAAAATAACTGCTAAGAATTTGAAATTCATTGTCAAATGAATCAACCGAAACATGTAGAATGGGTTTCGAATCCTTCGTTCAAATCTTTCCATTTAGTGTAACTAGAAGTTTGTAAATTAATCCTAACTGTGCTATATACTAAAGATACATTCCTGTATTTTAAGGTATTGTTAAAATATATATTGAATGGGTTCTATATGAATTCTCATTTTTGTTATCGTATAAACTTAGCAAATTATAGTTTAGCATGCGGTCCCTAAGTAGGAATTCACGAAAAATGTAATTTAAGGATGTTATTAATTGACCGAGTATTAAATTATTGAGGCTCTACTGTAGATATAAACAGCAAATGCACAATTATCTTCTACTCCGTTGGGCTCAAAACTAGATTTCCTAGTTGGATTTAGACGAGCCAAATAAAGTAACAGCGGAAGACGAGTATTAACTGGCAAACAGGTGAACAGCTTTCCTTAAACTAAAACTAGAACACACAAGAATGTTCGGTTGGAATTGTTTGTGCACTAACTCATCTCAATTTCCATAAAAGGGTCAACCCATAAATAAATAACTCGTCAAATTGACTGCAGAACCACCCAAACAGAAAATGTACATTTGCAGCTAGTTTGCACGAGGACGATTAGCAACTTATACTAGGCACAAAACATACTGTAGAATAAGTAACATATTAAACACAATCAATGGATTTAGATGGCAGCGTGGCACTAATAAAAGTAACCACCGCAATACTTTATTGGAAGAATAATGCACACCTTCAACTTTAACCCTATCGGGTGGTGCATCATTGCTCGGGACTTCGCTGGACATCCTCTTAGTGGCTCCCGCTGACATTTTACCACAACCAGAACCTCCAATAGTGTCTACCTCTGAGAGAGATGATAGGTCACAGTGTGCAACCATTACATTCATCGTTAAGGAATAATACAAAAAAAAAAAATTGTGCTTGCATATGTGAAATTTCTAGTTAAAAACAGTACAATAAGGCCTAGCTACTGTACCAGAAGAAATGCTTGAGGAGCGTCCTGATTGACCTTCTTTTCTTTGATCTTCCGTCCTGACCACACAAAACAATCGGAATCAGAATGACTACCAATGAGGTCCAATTAGGAAATACTCAAAACATTTGTCCAAGTATACTTGATTCTTGCAGAGAATGGAGACTGTTCTTTCCCATCAACTTCTCCAAAAGTCGTAGCTCCTGCGGTAATAAGGTTTAATAATCAAAGGCAGCTGGAACTATGAATTAAACTATACATAAACCAGATATTAAAGTTGATAATTGTTGGCTATAAGTAATAATGCAATAGATTAACGTTAGCAAGCACTGGGTAGGGCAACCATTATTACAAATTAACAGGAGTAGAAGTAGCACACTTGCAGTAAGAGACAGCCATAAAAACAAAGTGCCAGTTGTAGTGTAATGCAAAAAATAACTAGTACACACCATAATTTCACCTTTTGCAAGTTTTTCTTCTACAATTAGCAAACAATTAATAGAAAAGGAGAAGTAACATATATCCAACCAAATACCTTCTTTTGTTTCACCATGTTCTTTGGCCATAGCAAGCAGTTCCTCTCTACTCTTGCCCATCACATGAGACATGTCCTACGATACCAGCATGATAAGCTAACGTTTCAAACTAAACCCTACGGAAAAATAGTTAAGTTTGTAGAATAATATGACATACCGGAAGAGGAAAGCATGAGGATTTCATAAAAACTTTGTCATAATGGTCAATACATTGTAATTTACTTTTTGTTCCAACATGTTCTGCAACTTCATTCCAATTCCCTAACCCATACATTTCAAGACCCTGCAAAAGATATATAGCCTTTCAAAATGCAGAAACAGAAATGGGTTGCCGATAATATGCTGGTAAGCAGTAACCATATTGAGGATTGATAGATGAATTACAAAAAAAAATAAAAAAAATTGGATAAGGCTTATGAGCTTAATTTGAAAAGGACCTCCATTGTAGAACTTCAAATTCAATATTACACGTAAGTTACCAAAAAAAAGAGTTTTTCACTTAAACAGAGAATGAAACGCACCTCTAGAAGTAACATCTCCTCATCAGCATTCCAGTCAGGACATATAAGCGGAAATGCAAGGTTGTCCTGTTGAAATAGAAATGACAAAAAGTAGTAGCAAGAAAAATGGTTAACCCATACTAGTTGTAAAACTCTGTCGTCCAAGCAGTATTAAGAAAAATGTGGACAAATACAAAACAAAGATGGTTTACAATACAAATTTGGAATAATTGCCCCTCTTTAGAAATGAAGATATCCTATGCCCAAATGTTTAATATCAGACATCAGATAATAGGCCATGGTCATGTCAATCGAATGGAATTTGGCCTCTATTATAGTAGTTCTTCAGAAAGGTACAAAATTTCAAAAGTGATGCATATAGTCAGCGTTCTTTGTAAGAAAAATGTTTGTTGACAGGAAATAAAGGAGAGCACAAAAATTGTGATAGAACTATTAAACCATGGGACATCCAAACATTTCTCTTGATCAAAGAAAGGTCAAACGAATTGGGAAAGGAAATAGCATTTGTTTTACAGATCATGAATTGAAACAGATTTCATGTTTAGGTCTAATATTCTCGGTACTACGAAACATGTTTTGCTCCTTGTTGCCATAAAAACAGCAAATAAGAATCAAGGGACAAAGCATGGTGTTACAAGAGCAAAAATAAAATTAAAAGGAAAAAAGAAAAGAAAAGATAAACTTGGAATCATTGCAATAATAAATAATCTCTCCATCCGCAGTCATTATTCTTCTGTTTCATGTTGCATCTCACATCCCCATTGGCATAATATATAAGAAAGTTCACTTTCTCATTCACACAACACGGCCATATTGATCTAGACTCCACTTCTACCAAATCGTTGAAATAACTCCAATTATTTGGCCAATAACTCAGGCCATTTTTTTCATATTCATTTCATTTTTATTCTCCCAAAATTACAGCCAAATATCTATACACTTTTTTCCTTACATTTATTTTCCTCTAAAACAATTTTCTCTTCTCCCTAAATTTAAATATTTGAAAACATAGTAGTCATTGCACTTCAGAACACACAGCCAAATAAAGCAGATATACATCATATTCCCTTGTACACTTCCCTAGAACAAGCAAATAAACTAAACATTCGCTCCATATTTTGTTTCTAAGTTCTAACTACACAGATATGAAGACATAGTTCACAAGCAATGTCCAATGCTTGCAAATGTATCCAACAACATGAAATGAAGGGACTTTATGCAGGCACAAAAAACGTATACATAACTTTTGCAGATGAAAAATCATTCAGATCTTGTACATAATAATAAAATAACAGAAATAAGAGTATGAGGCTTCAAATTTAACTGACCATGACTCTGTAAGGATGGTTGCTTTTATGAGGGTACACCTCAGCTCCGACAGAAAAACACTCAATACAGAGGTCAAAATCAGAACATACTACACACTTGATCCTAATCTTTCCCGAAATGTCTTTGTTGCAGTAGTTACAATGGTACAACGCCTTCTTTCCATCAGTTATTCCCGGGAACTCTTCATATACAAATTAACTGCATGTAAGAAAAGCCTAGGACAAAAAGTTGTTCGGATAATTGAGAATAAGTTCAAAGTTATATCCATACCAGGAGTCGCACTGTCAGTATTATCCACATTCTGTGTTGTGCGTTTTCTCTTTGACCGGCTGAAATTTCAATTTATACAGTATCGTATCAATAAATGTGTAATATTATCCATAAAATAATATCTGCATACATTTATGAACAAACACATAACTTTGGAAAATAAACCTTGAAGGTCAATAACATGGAAACAACGACATAAAGACTAAAGAGACACAGCATTTAGCTAAATTGTTTTTTAAATAGACATGTACATAAATGAACGAGTGCATTTAAGTGTGAGCGTGTGATTACGCGGCCACATGTTATAGTTGTCCAAGAATTCAACATCAAGTTGCTCGAGCCAAAAATAAGTATGCCTAGCAAGTACTGGGAATTCACATACTAATTCATCTGAGCCACTCCCTAATCCAAGATCATTAAGGCTTACAACTACAATCAGCTCAAAAAGAAAGCCTAATTTCACGCTCAATGCATACACTTGTTTTCTTAACAAGCTCAAAACAGAGTCCAGGCTGAAATGGCAAAGCCCTGTAATTGAATTCATTTTAGAGCCTAACCAACTCGAATTCAATATAAAATTCAATGGCGCGGCAGATTATCGAAATTAAAAAATTAAAAATTAAAAACCCTAAATTTGAAAAATGAGGAAGAAGAAACTGGTCGAACCTCTGTCCAGGATCATCGACGGCGGCTTGAGAGGCAGCGCGTGAACGACCCATTCGCTGAGCAAATCAAAATTTGAACAAATAATTAGGTTTTCAGGATTCCAATTTCTTATACAGAGAATCCATTTACTCCGACAAACAATATTAAAGCGGCAAAAAGTATCGGTTAATGTTGCTTCGCTGTCCCAATTTATGTTGTTGAGTTTTGGTATTTTTTTCCCAAAAAGGGGCATTTTACATTTTCACCCCAATATTTTTTTGTTTTCGTAATACAACCTCTACGTGAAGAAATATATTTATTTGAATCCAGGTACATCGTATGCAGTGGCGGATCCAGGATTTTTGCCAAGGGGTTGTGTAAATATTTATTCAGAAAAAAGGTGAAAAAAAATCAAAATAGTGGAACAAAAAGGTGAAAAATGTTAAGATTTGGAAAAAAATCAAAATAGTGGAACAAAAAGGTGAAAAATGTTAAGATTTGGAAAAGAAATCAAATATTGAAAGGGGTAGAGTGTTAAGATTTGGAAAAGAAATCAAATATTGAAAGGGGTAGAGTTCGAACCGGAACCTACTCATGCAGTGGCGGATCCAGGATTTTTGCCAAGGGGTTGTGTAAATATTTATTCAGAAAAAAGGTGAAAAAAAATCAAAATAGTGGAACAAAAAGGTGAAAAATGTTAAGATTTGGAAAAAAATCAAAATAGTGGAACAAAAAGGTGAAAAATGTTAAGATTTGGAAAAGAAATCAAATATTGAAAGGGGTAGAGTTCGAACTGGAACCTACTCATAAAAGGAGGCATACCTTTACCACCTCAACCACCTATTTTTTCTGTCAACACATGTATAATAGTACTATATCTTTAAAATCAAGAGTGTGCAGTAGACCATAGCTAGATCCGCCACTGATCGTATGGTAATCACAATGTTCTAAAAATCGGTCGAGGCCACTGATTAATAGATCTTCGAGAGAAGCCGGTCTAATATATTTATGATTTTTATAAAGATTTGAAAATTCGGTTTTAATTTGTGAGGCGGTCCTAGGCCGTCAACCTTCGAGGCGGATCAAAAAATTGGTCAAAACTCGTTTTTTTTTAATTACCAAAAAAAAAAGTTGGACTTTTAATAAAAAAAAAAAAAAAAAAGAAGAGTATATGTTTCGTTTTGTTTATGTTAATTGTCATTTTTCAAGAACCTAAAACATATGCTTTCATTATTCGCATAATTTTTTAATGCAGAAGTTTTTCGTTTTATTTGTATTTTGTAAGTATTTTTATTATATTATGATCTTATTATTGTTAAAGTTTTGTTATGTGATTATGATATATAAATGATGTGGATATATTTAATTAAATATATTTGTATATATATTTTGAGAATCTACAAATAATATCTAGAAATATATTACATTAAATTTGAAACACGAATTTATTTCCGATAATTAATCACCACCGCGCCGACTAATCTTAAGGTGATGCCTAACCGCATCCGACCCAATTTCCGCTTTGTACATCCTTGATCGTAATTCATATTGCATCAAATAAAAGTCGAGATAAGATGCCATATAATTTTTTAGTTGCTAAATTTAAAATTTTCCTTTCTTGCTTTGAGGAACAATTTTTGAAAAATATATTTCATATAAAGATATAATTTTTAAAAATTCCTGAAAGAAGAAAGTTTTTTTCATAAAAAATAATAGCAATCGATGATGTTACAAAAGTATCATTAAAATCTCATTTCATCAAAATATAAAATGAAGGAAAATGTGTGTAACAGAGCCCTCTAATCTTAGAGGATCTTCCATGTAGTGCATGTTAATGAAGCCATCAATTCCTGCAACCCAAAATAAATCAAAGATTAATTAATTTCGCGATGAAATCCTTGTTAATGAAGTATACAGCAGCAGACGACATTTGAACTGTGATTTCGCAACCGATTTTTAAGTCACTAGTATTTCAGAATTAACGCTTATTTAACGCCAAAGATGGAAAGATATACATACCTGGGCAATAGTGTGTTTTGACGCAGCTGCAAACGATGATGCCGTAAACCCAAAGAAAGAAGCTGGAGACAATATATTCACATATAACTATTTTTTAAATCATCGTCGTCATCTCTATTCAGTGACCTGTGATATAATTCCTAATGTTCGTACCTTTGCGGCAAATATATATTTATTTCATTTACAGGCGCGCCTATACATATACAGATATATATGTATCAAAGGTGTTCTGTCAGAATGTACTATTATTATTATTCAATCATCAGCATTATTAGCTTCCTACTACTATATTGTTTGCAAACGGAAATTGTAGTAGGATGACGAAAGATGCTCTTTCTGATTCCCTAAGGTATTGTACGGTGCCGTTCATAGTTTTGACGAGCTTTTGACTCATGTATAGCCCGAGTCCTTCTCTCGATACATTATTGTTGTAACAAAACATCTCTTGTATCAACTCTTCCGGAACCCCCGGCGTTGGATGACTAATCCTGTCACCACCACAAAAACACAGATTTTTTTTTTAAAGTCGAAAAAAGTCGTACAAACACAAATTATTTCAATGTACGTAATCATACATACTAACCGGAATTCGAAATGGACAACATGCATCTGTGTCCCTATACTCTCCTTTCTGGGAATTATACAGAAATAAATAGACGATTCTTGAAAAGGCGGAGTGAACATGAGCGCGGTAGCTAAAAAGTCGGAAAGAAGTTGTTGCAGCCTCAATATATCACCGTATAGGCGCATACAAGACACTTCATCGGGTATATCGTATATGATTTTCACGTCTCTCTCCCGACTCAGAATCGTAACTTGATTCATCACCACTCGTAAAGCTTCCCCAACACTAAATTCCTCAGAGCTCATCTCCACATAACTGCAAAATTAGACTTCCGATCCATTAACTCTTGTTTATTTGATGTGAGCAAACAAATACGTACAAAACATCGAAATTGATTATTTCACTAAATTGATTATTAGTAGCTATAAATCATACCTTTCCTCGATGGCTTCGATATCAGTATCACCAACGATTTTAGCCAATTGATTTCGACACAATTCACTAGTCTTTAAAAGCTGCTTCTGTTCTTTGCTCAAATTCGAGGATTTCATCATTTTCTGGACACAGTTAATTCCACTCAACGGATTTCTCAGTTCGCTCCGAATATAAGCCAACTTTGTTTGGGTATTTGCCGCCGCTCGCTCGGTTATCTTTTGCACCTTCATTGCATGTTGAAGTTCTGGACTAGCAACGTGAAGAAAGCACAAAACTCCGGTGATTTTGCCTTCGGAATCAGTCCTCTTGTTTGCCGAAATCAACGCTTGTACGTATTTTTGCTGCCGATCGAAAAACCCAAAGACGAATTTATCCGAATCTTGACCAGAAATGACGTTATTAAGTAATATTCTGAGCTTTGTTAGCGTGTCTTCGTCTTTGACTCTGCAGCCGTTTGAGTGAACCGTGAAGACCTCACCGAGAAGCATTTGTTGAACGGCTTGTTCCTTCTTCAGGCCCGACAGTTTTTGCATTGCGTCGTTCCATTCGACGCACTTGCCGAACTCATCCATCATAAAAATAGGAGGAATTAGCGGACTCGGGTTCCACATGATAGCTGACCTCTCAACGAATCTACGATTGTATTTGTCCAACACCATAGTTTGGGCAGTAACATCTTGCCCGACAAAGCAAACGCCAACTATATTTTCGTTCACATCTCGACTGCAACATGCATTAGCAACCAAGATTATCGGACCGTTGTTCTCCTGACCGCCGAACGTCTTCAGTCTGATTTCTACGTTCTTCTCTTCCTTGCCTGCAATTAATAGTCGATTATTTTACGATAACATAACTTACAAAGCAAGGGTCTGAAAGACAGAGTAAGTAAGAGTTTATATAACCTTGCAAAGCTAGAGAGAGAATATCATTCATTCTGGGAGCTGCATCATCGACTACGAGATCAACAAATGGTGTACCGAGAGCTTGCTGTAAATCCAGACCCGTAAGTTCGGCCACCTTTGTATTCCAGCCATTGACGATACCAGACGAATCCACAGCCAAAATAGGTACCGATGCAGTTTCAATCAGTCTAACCATTTCATTAGTCACGACGCGCAGTTCATCCACCTTCGTCTCGACTCTCACAATCATTTTGGAATCTTCTTCGGCTATCTCGTCTTTCAAAGAGCCTCTCAATATCAGCTGAAGCGAATGAATTGCATCCATCTCCACATCTTCCCACGGTAAGCTTCTCCTCTTAACCACCTCGAGAAAGGCTTTAAACGACGACCTCGGGTGCATCTTTCTCGAATCGTCTTTGTCGGCAGGGTCGTGTTTCGCACCACCCCACTTAATCTCCTTTGCCGTGTTCGAACGGAACCAGAACAAGAAACCACCGGAAGTAATCTTCACTGCAGCCATTCCGCAAACGGCATCCCCGAGAGCGGAAGCTTCCGCATATCCTGCTTCCATAAGGCTGTCTGTACTCAATCCCGTACTGCCACCATGGCATTCGACAAGCCATTTAGCAATATCTTCAACTTGTGCCTCTGTGGGTGTAACCCCAAGCAACGAGCACTTTTTACGGTAGTAAAGTGCAGCTCCGTCGCACTTAACGAGGTCCATCACATTAGGCGACTGAGTCATAATCCCCGTCGGAGCATCTCTCAGCAGCATATCGCAAAGCACAGTTTGAGTTTGCAGTATATGCTTCTCCTTCAGCTGAGCTGCCAACTCAACCTCCTTGTTCATTTGACCACTGAAAACCTGAACCAAAAACTCACACGCGTACCTTAACGGAAACGGGATGAACCTCGGCTCCGTATGGTGGCAAACCACTAAACCCCACAGCTTTCTTCTCTTCTGCTGACTACTATCCGTCGCATCATCATCGTCACCATCATCCTCGTTTATCATTACAGACATGGCCAACGATGCAATAGATCCCATGTTCGCCATGTAATGTGCGTGACACCCGTGCGGAGACCTTAACGTCGATCCAGCAAGGCTCAGCGGTTGAGCCAATGCCGTGTCTTGAATCACTTTAACGGGTCGTGCTAAGCAATCGCATATCATCCTAACTTTATTCTTCATAAACAGAAATCTCGATGCCTGTGGTATATCGGTGGCGGGATAATGCAAGCCAAGATAAGGCTCCAAACCAGGCCGGCTGCAGCACTCGGCAACAACTTCCCCGTGCGCATCATCGTGAAACTTATAAACCATCACTCTGTCGTAACCGGTTAAATCCATCACTTCTCTAACCAATATATCGCACAAAACCGATATACTCCCGCTCGACAGAGATTGTAGTCTAGAAATGGCTTTGGCCGCGAGTTTATACGATTTCAACGCACCGGCAGCTGTCACCGGCAAATCGGCTGGATTCACGGGTTCAAAATCTATGACTAGCCCGACATCGACGTGGTGTAGAATGGCGTAAAAGGGTTTGCCCGAGTTTTTACTGTGGACCAATATCGGATTAAGCATATTAACTTCCCCGGCATTGGCCGCCTTTTGAAGTGCCGCAGCACCCGAGGGTCGAAAGAGTGTCCTAACATCGGTACCAAAAGTCAAAACGTCTTGTTGTTCGATGCTTGGAACTGCGTGCGGAGCTAAGTCCAGCATTTCTGGTGCATTCTCACTGTGTGCCAACACACAGAAATTGTGTACTTCGATTGCAATTAAGCAGCCGAAAGGCTGAATAAGGCTTCCCCTTTGCATCTTCTGAAGGTACGTCGATACCGTTGAAGAAGGGATGTCGGAAACGGCATTGGACACATTAACAGAAGTGGAGTAATCGAATTGCTGGTCGGAAAGTTCGTAATCGCCATGGAGCTTGGCATCGATTGGTGTTTGAGCTACTATATGAGCACCTTGTTTTGACCTAGCAGAGCTGTTCTTGGAACAGTTGGTCCTGTTCGTTGTCGATTTCGATGACATCACTTCCTTCACGCAATCTGAATATATATATCCACTAATATATATATAAAATCCACACCCAAGATTTCACAGAAACAAAGTAAAACTGCAAGAAATAAATATTATTGGGCAATTTGTAAATGCCAAGATCCAATCTTTCAAGTCAGATTATCAGCACAAGTAGTAATATAAAAAAAGCAGAGCAAAAAAAAAAAGAACCTTTCAGCAAAACATGTGAACTTGATATTACTTTACTTGCTCCATAAAACCCTCTATCCACCTTCAACAGCAATCATCATCATCGCTAAAAGAATATAAAAAACCAACAGAAAAAAAAAACACTATATATATATATATATATATATATATATATATATATATATATATATATATATATATATATATATATATATATATATATTATTACAAGGTGCGTGCGTGCGTGGGTGCTTCCTCAGAAAAAAAATAAAGAAAGAAAGAAAAAGGACAAGTGAAATTTCAAATTAGGCTTGTCAAAAAACTAGGAATATGCAGACAAATACAGCCCCCAGAAAGCCAAAAATTCATGAAAAAACAAGGACGAAGAAGAATCACTGAACGGAGGAGGGCAAATATGTAAATCAGCATCACGTGAAAGGGGGTTGAGTTCAATTTCTTGAGCTTTGTCCCCACCACACACACACAAAAAGAAATAAAAAATTACAAGGGTGGGTAAAATGAATTAATGATACAAAAAAAAAAAAAATGTAAGAGTAATTGTTGTATTCCAGGAGTAAATGGGCATTACATTTAAGGAATATTCTTGTTGAAGGTAGTTACAGTGAAGATGTAAAAAAGTGGATAGATGGGATGGGAAGGCATCTTCTTCACCTTTAGCACTTCACTTTTACTAGTTTGGAGTGGGAGTGGGGTGGCTACTACTAAAACAATATTAATAATATAATTTGCAGAAAACAACATTGCATAAATTTAGTTGCAACTTGCCCTCTTTGCCCCTAAAAATCAATTAATAATGGGTGAGTTAACATAAAATATTGTGAGGGCCAACCACTAGATTATCTTTATATATATACTAGTAACTCACCCGTGCGATGCACGGGGATCAGTTCTAAGTACAATTTTTTTAATTACTAAACACGTCGATGAGATAGATCAAACACCTTTATGAAAGAAAAGCGGATGTTAATGCGATGCGTAAGGGTAATATAAAAACTGAAAATATGTTTAAGATAAATACTCGAATGGAAACTTTGAATAGTTGATATATATATGATATAATCTAATTTATTTTAAACAATAGCAATTCCATTCGATTTAAATACTGATACAAATAAAATAAATAATAAATGAAAATATAAAATACAAAAATTATGATATAAAAAATAAGATATATTATCTCACCCAAATGAAGCAACTATCTCATCCAATACACTCGGATCCTTAACGGAAACTTAATACTAATACTAATACTAATACTAATATTAATATTAATACTAATACTAATACTAACACATTACTAATACTAATACTAATACCAATACCAATACTAATACTAATATTAATACTAATACTAATACTAATACCAATACCAATACTAATACTAATACCAATAATAATACTAATGCCAATACTAATGTTAATGCCAATACTAATACTAACTCTAATACTAATACTAATACTAATACTAATACTAATACTAATACTAATACTAATACTAATACTAATACTAATATTAATACTAATATTAATACTAATACTAATACTAATACTAATACTAATACTAACACTAATACTAATACTAATACTAATACTAATACAAATAAAAATACTAATACTAATACTAATACTAATACTAATACTAATACTAATACTAATACTAATACTAATACTAATACTATACTAATACTATACTAATATTACCTGCTAATGTTAATACTAAGCTAATGTTAATTCTAATATGCCAATGTTAATGACAATCATAATCCTAATATACTAATGCTAATGCTAATTGTAGTACAAATTCTAATAATCATAATCTTGATCCTAATCATTATCTTAATTCTAATGCTAATATTAATCGTAATCATAGTTATAATCTTAAATATAATCATAATCATAATCTTAATCTTAATCTTAATATTAGTATTAATTATAATCGTATTTCTAATACTAATTATAATCAAAATCATAATCTTAAGCTTCATCTTAATATTAGTACTAATCATAATCGTATTTCTAATACTAATTATAATAATAATCCTTATACTAATACTAATGCTAATTCTAATTCTAATATGCTAATGTTAATTCTAATTCTAATATGCCAATGTTAATCTAGATATTAATGCTAATTCTAATATGCTAATGCTAATGTTAACGCTAATACTAATGTGAATGCTAATCATAATATAATCATAGTCCAAATACTAATTATAGTACTAATGGTAATGTTAATGGCAATACTAATGTTAATGATAAATGCTACTGCTAATATTAATGCTAACGCGAATATTAATACTAATATTTTAATGCTTAATTAAATACTAATACGACAATGCTAATGTTAATATTAAGTTAATGTAAATCCTAATGTACTAATTATAGTCTTAATCCTAACATGCTAATGCTAATTCTTATCCAAATTCCAATAATTTTAATCCTAATCTTAATTATAATGTTGCTGTTAATTCTAATCTGAAACTTAATTATAATCCTAATACCAATATTAATCAGATTCTAATCCTAATCTTATACCTAATACTAATACTAATAGTAAGCACCTTCTGGAAATTGATAGTAACCTGCAAATATTTATACTAATAAGTTACATTGAAATATTTATACTTATTTTTTATGCATAAAAAACTAAATAATAAGTTATTAAGAAAACACATTGAATTTAATATTCTTAAACTATAATTAAATAAATCCTCTGATACATAACATATGAATTAAAATAAAAATAAATCTTGACAAATCGTCCATATATTTATAAACTTTATTTCCATTATGTAACAAAGTAATGTATGTGAAAATTGATTTTCCTGCTATTAACAATGTTTACATTCGAACTATTATTAAAATATATATAATATAAAAAAAGGTTTATGTCGCGTCCCTTATGAATGATATGTGAAGTATGGTAGATGCTTATGTCATACCTCCAAATTACTTAATTGAAGTTCAATTGATGATGTTATTCCTCAATTGATTAGTTGACCTTTTAATTTTGATATGTGTTTAACTTATTTTCTATTTAATATTTGCACACTCGTATAAACATTACTACATATATTTTAAATGCCATTTATTTTAATTATATATGTTCATTTATGAGAAACATATCAATTTATAATGAAAGAAAGTTGGCCATATCATTATATAATGATTAACAATAAGGGCTAAAAAAAACTTCTAATATTTTAATAATTTTTTTTTGTGGTGATTAAAATAAATACAAATATTGCCATAATAATTTAAATAAAGTACTCTTGTGCATATTTTGAATTTAAAGATATTAATAATTTCAAAGGAGTATGATTAAAGAAATCTATTTATATTTTACCAAAAATATATTTTGTTGTGATTAAAATAAATATAAATATTACCATAATAATGTAAATAAAATACTATTGTACTTACAAAAATAATTGTATAATAGCAAAAATATTGAAACACACAAATTAGTATTTTTTTAATGTCTATATAATAGCAAAAACTCAAATTATTAACAAAAAAAAAGAAAAAAAAGGGCAATATGAAATCGAATAAACATGGCAAAAATATAGACATATATTTGTAGACACAACTGATTTGTTTCACCATAAATTCAAAATGACAGATTGCAGTAGAGTATATTGTATAAAATCACAACTTATAAAATATATTCCATCGTAATTATTAGAAAACCTTACTACGCGATCTCTAGATAAAAGACATAGTCAATACGACATGTTGCGTATTCTTCGTTTGATTAATTATCTACTCAATATTGCTTCTAACAACCCTTTACAGAGTTAGTCGTTTAAATCTTTGTGATTCATCAGTTCATAATCCAATCGAGTTGAATCGATCATGTTAAACAATCAATCAACGATAGTTCTTCACCAACAGGAGAATTTCCTCGTTAAATGTCATCGTATAAATCTGCAATGCAATTTTTTTTAGTTAATATTGAAAGCAACTACAATCAAACAATAAAAAATTTAATGGTTTAACGTTAAAATAAAAGATATATTACATTATACATGTATAATGAAAGAACAACAACATGATAAAATATCAACAATCGTCAAAATAAATAATGAAATAAACAAAACTAAGTCTATACAATAACTGATTTTGGCTTATTAACTAAAAATCAGAATTAAAAAAGAGACAAATGATGATCAATACAAAGAAAAAACGAACGAACTTGCGAACAATATAGTGTTATGATGTGAGGAACTGAGTGAGAAAAAAATGGCGTATTTATAATGTTTTGGATGTGATGTAAGAGGATTTTTTTTAGGCGTATTTAAAAAGGAAAATAAATTATTATTGATTTGATTATAATCTTGTAATTAAATGAGCAAGATTTTATATTGATATTAATTGATTACATATTAATATATGTATTATCAATTATTTTGCGTTGAAAATTTTGGAGTTAAAGGTGTAATTAAAACTTGATACATTGTTATTTATGGTAGAAAATCAATACGAAAAATTGCATGCATGAATCTGTGGATGAAAAATCAATTAGGTAATAAAAGAAAAAAGATGAAGCATAATTCGAGCCACCAATTGTATGGAGAAAAACCAAAACCACCCACGGACTTGTGGTATAAAATCATTTTATTCACAAATGAATGCAAATAAAGAAAGATAATTAGGAAATAAAATTGAATATAATAAAATCAAATCATTACATAAGAACATGATTTTTCGAATTACTTTTTTCAAATTCTATAAATATAATATATTTCAAGGAATTAATACTAAAAATACATAAAAGTACGAAATATAAACATAATACTAAAAAAAAATTGAAAATATATCCATAAAATAAAATAATTGAATATTCATACATAAAGAATTGAGTTTTCTGAATTAAAAAAAAATATAGGTGGAAAATATATTTCGAAAAATATAAAATACTAAAAAGATAATATTTTTCGAACTTAATATATATATATATATATATATATATATATATATATATATATATATATATATATTTTTTTTAAATCTGAAAATTAAAAAAATTCAAGATATAATAATGTATTAATTAAATAGTACAAATTTTATAAATTAATCAAGTATATAATTCATTGAACTTATAATAGAAATACGCAATTTCAAATTATTATTAACAAAAATTATTGTATATTTATTAAGTACAATGTAAAAATAAAACAATTTTGTTGATAATTTTATTTATTGAATGGATATTCGAATATTCCAAAATATTGAAAATTAAAAAAAAATATATAATTGTATTCCTTTATTTTAATATTTGAATATTACAATAAATATTTTTTCGGAAAATTATTTGAATATTCGTAAAACAATGAGTATTGAGATTTTTTTTTAAAAAGACAGTCAATAAATATATTTTGGAATATTGAAACTATAAATAATATAATATTTTTCGAATTTATAGAATATTAAATTTGGAAAATAATATATATATATATATATATATATATATATATATATATATACATGTGGTAAATGTTTAAATGAGTGTACAAATGTTAAATAGGAAAGAATTTAAATACATACCAAATGAAAAATGACAACTAACCAATTAAGAATTACACCTCATCAATTGAACTCCAACTAAGCAATTTGGATGTATGACATCAACATTTGACACATGTCATTCATATAGAGCATAGATCCTCTTTTTATATTATATATAGATTAATATGTGTGTGTAGTGGTGGTAAACGAGTCGAGCCGAGAGCTTGATGAGCCGGCTCGAAAAAAATTCGAAATTGAATTCGAGCTTTTCGAGTTCGAGCCAGTTTTTAGTTGTTAGTGAGCTCACCCGTCGGCTCGCGAGCCTTATTTTATTTTTATTTTTATTTTATTTTTAGATATTATTTTTTTATTTAAATAATGCATAATAATATAAAATATTAAAGAAATAAATAAAAATAAAATAATAATATTAAAAAATATATATAATTACAATTTATTGTTTATTTTGTATCTAAATATTTTTTTATTTAAAAAAATATTGGGTAAATCACAACCACCCCTAAGGTATGGTCATATTACGAAAACTCCCCTTCTGTTTGGGTAATTACAACCACCCCTCAACTATAAATCTTCTTACATGACCACCCTTGCGGTATCAAATTTAGTGGAATCTTCTAGATTATATGGAATATTCTCACTTTTGGACCCGTTTTATTCCTTTCGAGCTCCAATTTTAAAGTTAGATGATCATAAGATGTGAATGTAAATGATTATATTGAATTTGGCACCATAAGGGTGGAGATGTAAGAAAATTCATAGTTAAGGGGTAGATGTATTTATCCAAACATGAGGTTTTTTCGTAATTTGACCATACCTCGGGGGTGGTTGTAATTTACCCAAAAATATTTATATAAAAAAAAAATAACAAAATGAGCTTGGGCTCGAGCTCGAGTCAAAACAGAAGGAACTCGACGAGCTCGAGCTCAATAAAATAGAATCGAACTCGAGCTCGAGCTTGCCAAAAGAGATGAGCTCAGCTCATTCACACCCCTATCAGTGTGTGTATATAAATTTACATAATATATGGTAATTTACATCCACCTTACTCAAACGTTTAACCTGTACCACAGATCCCCTCCATTCAATTTTCTATTAGTAGTTCGTTAGTTTTAAGGGTATAATAGAAAAATTACATACAAATAAATAAAATTAACTCACAAAATTAACATAGGAGCTACAAAGATTTATTATTATTATTATTATTACATTTAATTTCTCAATCTTACATGTTTTAAAACTTCATGGACATCATGTTTCAATACTTATGAATAGTAAAACAATATTTGGAGTAGAGGGCAACAACCGAACACATGGATTGAAAGACCTTTTGATTAATGTTTTTTTTTTTTTTTCGTGATAGTTTCACTTGTTAGTAAATAGTACTAGAATTGTTTTTCTTGTTATTGCATTCACAAAAAACCGAAATGACATATATGTAAATGTAATACTGATCTGTTAAAAAAATATACAATACTGATTAATTGAAATATAAAATTTGAATTGCGTACCTAAAAAAACAATTGACATTAACCAAAAGTTAAATTGGATGAAATGGCTGTATAATCCAAAAAAATAAAAAAAGTTTAGGGGTATAGATGTGAAAATGTTAAACATTTGGGGTGTGTTTGTCAAAAGACGAAAGTTTAGGGACGGGTTGATGCAAATGAGGCAAAACATATATATCCATATAGATAAGGTAGTAAAAGTAGAGAGAGAATCATGAATGATCACATCACACACACACACACACACACTTAAGATTATATGAAAATCAAATTATTTGTATCCATACATACCCAAAACCCTGACTGAGTTGTGTCTCTCTATATATTCTTTCTCTGTATCTTTGTTTCTTTGATAATCCTTTATAGTTTGTGTAATGGCAGCAGAAATGGGCTCATTTGCTGGCCTCAATTTCCCAACTTTTAATAAGCCAACTAATAAGCTATTTTCCCGGCCTCCTCTACAACCAGCTCAGTATACAAACAAAAGGAGGCGGCTACAGCAGCAATTCACAATCTCTGCCAATTTAGGTTTATTTATAACCCTTTTCATTTTCTTGATTATTTATATAGTTTATTTAAATTTAATTTAATTATTTAAAATTGTGGGTTGTCAGGAGGAGGAGGAGGAGGAGAAGGGGAGCTCAAGAAAGAAGACAAGAAGAAGTTTATCACCAAAGAACAAGAACCAGAACAGTAATTTTTTTTTTTTTTTTTTTTTAAATAATAATATTTTCAGCTTGGACGTTGTTTAAAGTGTTACAGGATACAATTTTGTTTTGGAATTAATTGAAGGAAATAATAAATAAAAATGGTGCGTGCGTGTGTGTAGGTATTGGCAAACAGCGGGTGAAAGAGAAGGAGAAAATCCAATGTCAACACCGCTTCCATACATAATCATATTTGGTATGTCAACTCCTTTTATTATTTTAGCCATTGCTTTTGCTAATGGCTGGATTAAGGCTCCTATTCGCTGATTCTTTTTCTATTTACCTAATTCATTCATTCCTCCTGTACTATATTTATTTTTATGCTATACTTTTTCTTGTAAACAAAGAAGAATATGCCTAATTACTATACGCATTTTAATCTCTCTCTTTTTTTCTTTCATTTTTCCAAATATTAATACTATGCATTCTCATTCATGCTTCTTATTAGATCGAAAACTACCTATATATATATTATGTAGTATGTTATTGCTATAATATAATTGTGTACATGGATTGGTTATATTAGCTTATAACCGGATAGTGGTAAAACGGTTGAGTTAAATTAAATGTATGATTGCTCAAATTTATTTGAGTTTTTATTCACTTTAAAAAGTTGTGTTTTAATTTAATTTCATTAGCAGTTTGAACTTCAGTTCAACACCAATTTCATATCCTTAATAAATGATACCTTATTTCCATTTGAAAATTACACTCCATTCGTTCCCTTTTAATAGTCGTTTTTCGCTTTGCACACGGATTAAGGATTTCATTAAATGTGTTTTTTTTTTTTTTTGATCGAAGATGTAAACAATATAAATTAGAAAAAGATCGTAGACAATTACAACGGGCATACCCGAGGGAATTGAGGAAACAATAGAAAGCATCTAACTATCGAATAACATAGAAAATGTGAAAATCCTAGCCGCCAATTGGGGCTATGCCCCCTCCCTAGTGTGCGTCAACTTGGCCGACGATAAAGCGGCCCCCACTGGTGGTAGTCAGTTCCGGGTACTGTATGAACATAGCTGAATAAACGTGAATCTGAATCTTCCGAACAAGGGCAGTAGTCGTAGTCTCTATCTTGTCGAATCTCCATTTGTTCCGAGCCTCCCATATATGGTAAACAACGCTTGCCAAAACACATCTACTCGTCTTGCTTCGGTTCGATTTACCTTTAACATCCTTGGTAAGCCACTTAAGAGCAGCTCGTATAGTAGTGAAATCCCCAGCCAAACTCGAATACGATCCCATACTTCGCGCGACAGGCGCATAAAAAACAAATGTTCTCGGTCCTCATTCACCGCGCCGCACAACACACAATTCTTCTTGATGTCCCGATAAGATAAATGTTCCATGGTTTGCAACCGATCAAGGGCTGCCATCCAAAGAACAAACGAATGCTTTGGTGTCATGGAGTTGGCCCAAAGATGTCGACCCCATGGCTGAGCCCCGGTTGGAGCCCTAATTCAGTCGTAAATCCGTCCCACCGTAAGTTTTCCCAAGCTCGAGCACGTCTTCAATTGAGCTAGGAGCAACGGAATGGAGCCCGCCTTGCCCACGACTTCATCCCGGATCCCACAAAGATTTTTGAAACATGGGGAAGAAGTCGCCGACGGTTGCCATTCCCAGATAGTCGTGCCCTTTAGGTAGAATTCATTGACCCATTGAATCCATAGGGAGTCCTTCTTCAAGTGGATGTCCCAAAGGTCCTTCACAAGCAAACTATGGTTCCATGTACGCAAGCAGCAAAGGCCCAACCCACCATTGGCCTTCGGCTTACACAAAGATTCCCAAGCAACTTTCGGCGCACAAGTACCCCATAAGAAAGCACGACACATATCTTCAATATAACCAATGACCATAATCGGGATCGAAAAAATCGAGAGCCAATAGCAACACGTACCTTGAACAACTGCCTTCAAGATCTCCAAACGGCCGACGTACGATAGCGTATGACCCGTCCACACCCCTATGGCATGCTCAATTTTATCCAAGAGGGGTTGGTAATTAAGCACATGGAGTTTGGACGCAGCAAGAGGAATACCCAAATAGCGAAAGGGGAAGGTTTCGGTAGAAAAGCGGAATTCCTCCTCAATTGTCGTTCGGTCAGCCACATGAACTCGAGCGATGAATAAATTGGATTTCAAGTTATTCACATGAAGCCCCGATGCTTGCCCAAACTCAAGCACTGTTGTGGCAAGCGTACGAACAGAGGCAACATCACCTCTCAAGAAAAGCATCAAATCATCGGCAAAGATGAGGTGCGTCACTTTGTGCAAGTGGCACATCGGGTGGAAATTGAGCTCTTGCTTCGTCGCTCTCACATGCAGCAGTCGAGAAAGATACTCCATGCAAATAACAAAGAGATAAGGCGATTACGGGTCCCCTTGTCGCAGTCCTCTCATCCACGGAAAGTAACCCCTCGTCACTCCATTAACCGACACCGTATAGGAGGCTGGTGTCACACACTCCATAATCCACCGAATCACCATGTCTAGGAACCCAAGTCCCATCAACATAGACCGTAAGAAATCCCAATTTACGGAGTCATAGGCCTTCCGTAAATCCATATTGAGTAAGCAACGAGGCGATATACGTTTGCGTTCGTATCCCCTCATAAGTTGTTCAACCATATGAATGTTGTCCGTAATAGAACGGCCACTCACAAAAGCCGATTGGGCTCTATCTATGATTGAAGGTAGAACCTTCTTGATGCGTTTCGTAATAACCTTTGCAATTACTACTTGTAAATAACATTGCAGCAGGCTATGGGGCGAAAATCGGCCACCGTTTGAGCTTGGGCCGATTTCGGTATAAAAACCAAAACCGTATTATCCCATTGTTTGAGCAGCTCGCCGCTCCGAAAGAACTCCAAAGCCGCTTCCGTAAGGAGGGGGCCCACGGTCGACCATGCAACTTTGAAGAAAAGAGCCGTATATCCATTCGGGCCTGGCGCCTTATCATCCGCAATATCGAAGAGGGCTTCTCGAATCTCCATATCCGTCACTGGCTGAATCAAACTCGCCCGATCTTCCTCCCAAAGAACCGGTCTGGTGGCAATGATATGAGGATCGACCGGTTCGCAAGGGACCCGAGTACCCAAGAAATTCTTGTAAAATGTTTCAAATTCCGCAAGGACCTCATCCCGAGAGGTAGTAACCGAGCCATCCTCCTTGCGGAGTGATACAATATTGTTCCGTTTGGCATTACGTTTAGCAATACCATGGAAAAATTTTGTCGTCCGGTCTGTGTCTCGTAAATACTGAAGTTTCGCCTTTTGGTAGAAAAATCTCTTCTCCGCTTTCGCCAAGAAACGAAATCTCTCCACTTTGGACAACATCTCCCCACGTAACTGCGGATTGTGGGGATCGTTGTGGTAGGCTTGCTGCTGTCCTCAAGCTCACCACTTGCCCGTTTGACCCGTTCCGAGATATGCACAAATTCACGTCTATGTAGGCGCTTAAGTGGATGCTTAAGAGCCTTGAGATTTTGGCAAACAACCCATTGGCGGCTGCCCCGGTGGTTGGATGACCACACCTCCCTTACTTCGTGTTGGAAATCACCATGTTGGGTCCATATTTTGAAAAACCGAAAGGGCCGAGAAGCCGGGGGCTCTGTTCCTTTGAGTTTCACAATTATCGGAGTGTGGCCCGACACCGCCCCAAAAGGGAGGAATTATGCCGAACTACCCTCAAATACATCCCTCCAAGTTTGGTTCACAAACTCACAATCAAGCTTGCTCCACACTGTTTGGTTCGTCCAAGTGTAGTGGAAACCCGTTGAAGGTAAATCTTCCAATCCACTTTGACGAAAGCAATCCTGTATATCATTCAGCAAAAGTCCATACACAAAGCTAACATAGCATAGCCGATTGGTGACCATACATGTTACCTTGCAATGGATCACATGCGTCGTCATGTCAACCACTTCCACCGGAGCCACATCCGGGTTCCACAGAATTAGAATCCGGCCTGTCGTATGGAGATGGAAATTGTTGAGGTTCTCCCAGTGGCGGAAACGACGGCCCATGATAGAGGTCAGCGTTCCCGGGTCCCAGATCTTCATTTCCAGTAAGCCACAAACCGAAAGCTTGTGCTTTCCAATGAGGTCCACGACCTCTTTCTGCGTGAGAGAGTTAAAAAACCCCCTCACATTCCAGCATCCAACAATCATTTCGACCGTGGGGGATGGAGGCTCCCCCGCGCAGCTCAATAACCTCACGCTCTCCAGCGCCGGCTCGGTTGGCGGTCCCGAGCTTGCTCCCCCCTCTTTGGGCATAAGGATAGCATTTGGAGGAATAAACTTCTTCTTGGTTGTAATCCTCGACTTGGGGGCTGTTCCGGGGTTTTTGGTGAGTCAAGGGCATTAAACTCCACCAACGAACCTCGGTCGTTGTTGTCCACTTCATAACAATCGGTAGAGGCATCATCCGATACTCCTACCTCTCCAACCACGGATTCATCTTCGGCCTCCGCCACAGTCTCCGTCACCGTCTCATCCGCAATCACCGTTCGTTTGCCTGCCCAAACTGTAGTCACTGGTGGATCTTGTGCAACACTCACCACCGGTTTGGGCTTCCAGCTCCTCCCTCGCTTAAGCACCGCCTCCGCTCGACATTGATCCGTCTTATGCGTAAGGGTTTGGCATTTCGAACAAAATACCGGTTCGTAGCTATATTCAATCGGGACCTCATAGCTCTTACCTTTCGCACTGATCAATGTAAGCGACCGTCGTAATGGTTTGGACGCGTCCACTTCAACTTGAAGTTGTGCAAACCCCAACCTGCCCATCTCACTCGTGACTTTGTCCATTTGGACTGGTTTGCCAATCTTTTGAGCGATCTTACTCAACGCCTTTTTGTTGTAGAGTTCCGCAGAGATGTTGCGTAGGATCACCCAAACCGGTACAAACATCATAGCGTTGATGTCGAAGTTGAAGAAGTCTGGCATGGCACGGATATATAGCGTCGCTACTCCATGTTCAAACTTCCCCGTCTCCACCACCTTCATCCGATCATGGTCCGTTGTGAATTTGAACACGGTCCACCCCGTAGGATGGATTTGGAATTTCACCAGGACCTCCCATTGCGTCTTTATCGCGTGTATGGCGTCAAGTCCGGGGAATTTCCTCGAAAAGTAAGCAACGGCCAAGAACACACCCTTCGTACCCCAATCTACCTCGTCTTCTTCCTCAAATCGGAGGATGTTTGTGTCATCCTCACCTTCCACCGATTCCAACGCCAATTCCTCCGATGTTGGCGGATTGCCTTTGAAGAATTGAGACCAGTTCATTCGTTCGCCATCACCGGAGTATTGGCCCGTTGTGGGACCCCGGATTTCACCTGCCTTTGATGATTCGGCATGTGGAATGGGAGTCGTCGTCTCTTCCGTGGGAATTTCTGCAATAGTCGCAATGGGGAGAGCCGTAGCCGC